ATTAAAATATGCAATAATTAATAATTCTGAATGCTGCAAAAGATGAAGCCTTTAGTTAAGTAAAAAATACTGTTTTAGCTTTGGATAGAAAGTATGTAAAAATTCCAATTTTGAATTTATTAATCATGCCACCAGTATTTATTTACATATACATGCCCTCAGCTGAGATACTATCATTGTTATATCTATAAAATTTACTTACTTACAATGAGTTAAAGCACTATATATAACACCATCTAGCATAGTGGTTAGGATTGCACATTCTATAGTTGAATAGACCTGGTTTTGATTCTCATCTCTACCCTTACTAATTGTGTGACCTTAGCAAGCTCTTCCAGTTCTGTGTGCTTCAGTTTCTTCATATGAAAGACAAAAATAGTAATAGTACTAATCCTTAGGGGTCGTTCTGAGAACCTTAAATGATAGATTCATGATATGTACTTAGCATTTTGCCTGGCACATAGTAAACATCCATAATTTTAGCCTAGAAAAGAAGACTTTGATGTCTAGCTTTTTTGTCACTGCATTTGTATCAATAAACTAGAAAGAAGCATTAATAATACTGTCTCAGGCACAAGAGTTTTGAAGTCAGACTAAGTCCATTTGAGAAAAAGATCCTAATTCTAGAAATCGGAATAATAGAATTCTGGGATTTGCAGAGCTCTCCTTGTTATCTTCTAGCCATATATCCCCCCAGTCTATACTCGAGAATATCCCTGCATAGTGCCAATCATATATAGAGTTGTTATGAAAATTAAATGACTGATTCCTGTTATGTACTACCTACAGTATCACTCTACAATATCCCCCAAAGCTGCTCATCTACCAATATTTGGTCCAATTACTTAATCACTCTTGGCCTAATCTATAAAATGGGGGATCAAAATGTCAAATCCATAGTTACTGTGAGGATTAAGTCAATGCATATAAAAGCATAATGTATTTCACAAGTTTATGTATTGTTAAAGATATATTTAACATTTGCTTGAATATCTCAAATTCCACCCCAGTGCTAAAGATCTACTATTTACTAATATACTTTCCTACTGTCAGAGAGCTATAATTGTTTTGAAAGTCTTTAAATTGAGCTCAAATTTGCTTCCTAGAGCTTCCACCCATTGAAGAAAACTATTAGAAATAATGAGGAGTGAGACTTCCTACTACTGTCCCAGGGGCAGGGACTGGGAAGGGTGGGGGCCGATGGTCCTTGAGCCAACTTCCCATGTTAGTTGTTTCCTCTTTCTATGTCCTCATACGCACTGATTATTTATTGCAAGTCTCCATATCCTAGGAATGGAGGATGCCCAATATCATCTTCATATAGGAATGTTCTTTCCTAAAAGTGTTCAGAGGGCTTGAGATTTGTGGGGAATAAGAAGAAATGATTTTTTAAATGGCACTCTATGATTTATTAGAAAAATCCATTAGGTACTTTACAGACATTTTTTTCGTTTATTATTCTCAACAACCCCACGAGAGTAAGTATTATTATTCTCATTTACATGTAAGGAATCTGAGGCCAGAGAATTGGGATAACTCATGCAAGCTACATGGGAAAGTCAGGATATGAGTGTATTAGGTAATGCTAACACCTGAGATCTTTCCACAATTCTATATTGTCTTTTCATTAATCATATTCACCAAGGGAAAACCCATATTCTAGAATCAAATCTTACAACTCATATCATGTGTGCCTCTGCTCACAATGTTTTGATAGTGTAGTTTTCTTCTGGAAAATGATTTACTTCATTCACAAATATTTTGCACTCTACCATAACTAGCAAACCAGGTTTTACCTGGATATCAGCCTAAATTTCACAAAATTCCCAAAGTGTTTTACTTTGGGAGAACTGATTATGCACTGTGAACACTAGTTCAGTGTTTATAATTAGTGTTTCAAAAATGTCTAAATCATTTCTTCTTACTATGAATTCTATGGATTTCCTTTGATACGCCACATGGAGACTCCTACCAAGTGATTCTGCTTCTCACCAAAGCATGGAGTTGGTCAGGACCCTCCTCCAAATTGGATCTAAACAGTCTTTGCCCAAGTAGAGACAGCCAGAGTTCTTTTGCGTGTTGACAATGAGATCATCCTTTCTGTGTGCATTCATAACCCAACTCACAATACAGAGAACTCTACAGTGACTCAGTGGTTCTTCATTGTGCCTCTGACTTTCTAAGGCAGAACACAAAATTCAAAAATTGAACAGTTAAAATCTGTTTTCTGTTAAGCCTCCCATCTGAACACTTGCTGCCAATAGTTAATCACGCGAAGAGCTGTAGTTACGCGTGTCCTTCAGAGCTTGTGAAGCTTGATGAATGAATTGGAGTTTTTAAAGCTCTTTGAGCTGTAAACATGAAAGGTGTTATGGATGTGTTAAATACTTTATTCTGTATGTCCATTTTGCACCGAAGTCCAGAGGAAGCTTATTATGCAGCTTCAGCCTAAAGCAAGCCAGTGGCAAGGACAGGAGACTACTGCTTCGTTGGGGATCAGATTTCACAGAGCTGAGGTTAATCCTCAATGCATTTTAGCATATACTCATTGTTTTTTAAACATCAAAATCTGAAATTTTTATATTATCTAGGAAATTATTC